TGTGGAACAGACTCGAGAGAGAGGTTATCCATATCCATTGTTGCTTGGTACTTAATGTTTTAAAGGATTCTTTTTTTTTTTCTTTTTTTTTTTTTTGAGACAGATTCTCACTTTGTCACCCTTGGTAGAGTGCTGTGGCAATATAGCTCATGGCAACCTCAGACACTTGGGCTCAAGTGATTCTCTTGCCTCAGCCTCCCAGGTAGCTGGGTCTACAGGCTCCCACCATAATACCCCACTATTTTTAGAGACAAGGTCTTGCTCAGGCTCAGGCTGGTCTCTAACCTGTGAGCTCAGGCAGTCCAACCCCCTTGGCCTCCCAGAGTGCTGGGATTATAGGTGTGAGCCACTGTGCCCAGCCAAGGATTCTGTTTTTCTTATAGTAGAATACTGAATATCTGCCAGAAAAACATGGTACATTCTTCAAGATAAATTAATGGAAAACAAAAGTGTATAAAAGCATAAACAGTTTAGCACAGATTTTTATGTTGTGCATAGAGTATCTCCTGGAAGAATCTCCAACAAAATGATAATGTGAGTTGGCTCTGAGGTCTGGGGAGCCTGAGAGGGGTTAACAAGGGAGAGAAGAACTTCTCATACTTCATGTTGGTATTTTTCATTTTTGGGGGAAACAGAGTCTAACTTTGTCACCCTGGGTAGAGTGCCATGGTGTCATAGCTCACAACAACTTCTAAGTCTTAGGCTCAAGGGATCCTCTTGCTTTAGTTTTTCTAATTTTAGTAGAGAATGGGGGTCTCACTTTTGCTCAGGCTGGTCTCGAACCTTGTGTGCTCAGGCAATCCTCAGCTCACACTTTATTTTCAAAAGTTTTTAATAAGCTGAGCACAGTGGCTCATGCCTATAATCCTAGCACTCTGGGAAGCCAAGACTGATGGGTGCTTGAGCTCACATGTTTGAGACCAGCCTGAGCAAAATTGAGACCTCATCTCTACTAAAATTGGAAAAAACTACCTGGGTGTTGAGGTGGGCGCCTGTAGTCCCACCTACTCGGGAAGCACGAGGATTGGTCAAGACCAAGAGTTTGAGTTTGCTTTGAGCTATGATGCCATGACACTCTATCCAGGGAGAGAGAGTGAGACTGTGTCTCAAAAAAAAAAAAAAAAAAAAAA